AGTGCAGTTGGCGCAGGATAGAGCAGGGTTTAGGGCTGTTGTGCATAGGGTCGCTATGAGTCGCAAACGACTCGAAGGCACATAACAACAACAACAAGTGTTCCCTTGCTCCATTTGGACAACAGATTCTTGATCTAGGTATAAATTTCACATGAGCACAATTAATTGTCCTGAAATTGTCATTCTTCCAGTGTTAGCCAGAGTGACCCTGTGAAAAATAGATCTGAATCTTGCCCCACCCTTTTGAGATGTGGGAGTATAGAAAGAAGTATCTGAAGAATGTAGATTTGAGTCTACATATTTACATATTTACTACTTATTATGCTTTCTAGTAATGCCCCATGTTGCAAAGGATCAGTCCATTTTAAAACAGGACATTGTAAATTAATGGCAGACTTTGTATCAAGTAAATATGCAAGTAATAGTTGATTAATTTCATTTTGTGACCATTTTCACATTCAGAGAGGATTCTTTTATTACTACAAAGCTATGGTCTAAAAATTGATGGTTTATTAATTAGGTTACATCCTCTTAGTTGAAGAAATTATAAATGAATAATTTATAATTTAGTGGAGAAATGAAGCAAATGAAGATTAGTTGACACTGATTTGTCTATCTTCTCTCAGGTTTCTGAATATGCAGGATTATTTAGAAAAGTAATATTTAATTGATAAACAGAAGATATACTTCTTTTTAAAACATAATTATTTAAAAGCAGAGGTGAGATACATATATATAAAATACAGTTTTTTATACATTAATTGTTAATTATAAATAAAATATTTATTATATAATAAGAAAGGGAATGGTATGAATCAGTGTGTTCTTTATTAATTTTCTTTCACATTCTCTTTCCTCTACAAAGCTAATTTATTCATTAGTTTCAAAACCATCATGTGCTGCTTGACACTGTAATGAAAGATGAATTCAGGTTTTAAGAGCACATGTGGTTTTGCTTAGGCATTGTGACAAGTTTATTTCATCAATTAATGGTGTCTATTGCCTATGAGTGATTGCTGAAGAAACCAATGAGATCTACAGACTTTCACTCAAATAGAGGGTTGTTTTATTTTTTAAAAAAGAACACATATGTACAACAAAGGCATAGGAAATATGCAATCAATGAAAAAGATTAAAAATTAGAATATCACAAAAGCATTGAAACAGCCCAAATGTCCATCAACAAAGGAAAGGATTGAGGACACAATGGAATACCAAGCAGCACTCAGGGGAAACAATTGCAAAAGCCACTATAGAAACATGAGAGAGGCTGGAAAATGTTATGCTGGGTGAACTAACTCAGGCTTATAAGGAAAAATATTGCATAAGACCATTACTGTAAAAATAGAAGGATAACTAGTAAGATGCATATAAATGTTCAAAGAAGGAAGGAGATCGGGTAAGGGGACTGAGGGAAGGGGTGAAATCACGAGGTCACAGAGTTTGGTGGGTGAAAGAATTAGGAAAGATCCAGTGGGTATCTGAAAAGATGGAGTAATAATGAGCATAGATAATGGTGATTAATTTTGTAAGACACAATATATGGGAACAATCATATAAAAACACAATGTAAATTAAAAACACACCAAAAATAAGAATAGGTTAAAAAAAACCCAAACCCATTAGAATATGTATTTTTAAAACTGTCAACAAGGCTAAGGAACCTTGGTGGCTCAGTGATTCAACAATGGGCTGCTACTCAAAAGCTATTCAACTGACGTGAATTTACCAACTGGGAAAAGACATGACAATCTATTTCCATAAAGATTAAAGCTTCGGAAAGCTGTGGAGCAGTCCTCTGTATTATATAAGATCATTGTGAGTTGCAGTTGACTTAACAGCAATAGGGTTGTCAACAAGGTTAAAAAGCATAGAATAATGGATTGGGAAATTATGATACATTCACACAATGGAATACTACACAGCACACAGGAGCAATGATTTTGTAAATTATTACCTAACTTGGGTGAACTATCTCAGTCTCACAAGGACAAATACTATATAAAACCATTATTGTAGAATGAGTATGAGGATTGACGGGGGAGAGGGTGGAATGAGGATGATGTGTAGGGGGACAGGGTATTAATCATGAAGTTGTATAATTTGATGAGGGGGGTGATGTAAATTAAAGATTTTGTTCGAGAAAACAATGTATTCAAATTTTGTAAATAAACTACTTTAATTAAAACAGAATAAAATGAAGATTGGAAAAATGCAAAGTAATTAAAAATACCATTTTAAGCCATATTTACTCTGAAGCAAGAAGAACAAGAAAGGAATATTGTTACTGAGAGCAGATGCTGTAAACTTAACAGATGACGTTAGGAAAAGAAGCTATTTAATGCTATGTATGTTCTATCTTCTAAGAGAACATCTTCAAACTAGAATGCCTTGAACAATTATGATGAAAAGAGATTTAAGGTTCATAGTAAATGAGGCACCTTTAGCTAAATTCCACAAATCAGCAATTTCATAATAACCCTAAATAACTACTCTTCCCAAGCTAAGGAAATGGAGGCCCAGAGAGATGACACAGTTCAGGCATGACAGTCAGAGTCATCACTAGTGTCTGCCATTCATCAAAGCTGTGTTCTTCCTTGTCTTTCACATGACCCCTCAGGGTTGCCTTAATTCCAGGTCCCAAAGTTCTCAGCCTCCCTAAATTAGCCCTTAACTATATTATAAACTCAGAATCTTTAATTATATAAGCCTCAAGTCCCTCAGGATGGTGTGCTTTGACTTGAAGACCTGACTTCTGATGCTTGAATCATCTAACTTGGAATCCCGTATCCCAAATCTTGAACTTGGAGAAGTAACTTCATTTTTTTTACTTTGGTCAAAACTTTATGACTCTTAGAAATATTGTGTATCCTAAGTACTAAATTATGGAAACAAGGACCAAACTTCCAACTCTGATTTATATTCTGATTAACTGAGCCATCAATCCATTTGGGGAAAGGATCCCATGTGTGCTGCAGCCATAATGGACCATCTCTCTGAAAGGCTTCTTTCATCTTCTGAAAATAAATGACTTCTCACAGGACTTTCCCTGACTTACAGCTTGACTTGAAAACCACTTATTCATTTCCATAGCACACTGTCTCCACTTTGGTAACATTCATCACAGCCTAATCTCTTGTTTACTCTCCCCCCCCCCATATACTCTCACTGCTGTATCTCCCTTGTGCCTAGTACAGTACCTGAAGCACGATGTAAATGTTTAGGAAATATCTGAACCACTGGGTGAATGAGCTATTACTAAGTGATTGGTGATGGGTATGAGATTTGGCAATGGTATATGAATTCATATGCCATTAGCAACTAGACATTACATAATTTTGGTTCCTTAATAAATTTTTAAAACCCCACAAAAACCAACAATATACTGAGTAGCCCAAACTTTTCTCCTTGTACTTTCTTACTCAGCCCACACTTGTGTAGACTTAAAACTACACTATGAGCCTTTGGATTCAGCCCCCAGAGAAGAAGCTCTGAACATGTTTTAAACCTATCACTGAAGTCCTTTTCTTCAGCTCTGTTATCACAGGGAGCCAGCAATCTCAGCCTGTGTGCTTCAAAAGAATTGAAATGTGTCTGACATCCAGTTGCTTTCCTTCTGACCTGCAGAATCAGAGCACATCATCCTAACTCTTGTCTGAGCATCAGCTAAAGATACAGACAGATTACTTACAGACTCATTTTTTTAATGTTAACAGACTTCTTGAAATTGAATGTGGGTGTCTTTCCTGTACAAATAGCTTCTAGGAGGGAAAAGAACGCCCAGAAAGGTGAGAACTGATGATACATCTGTTACTCATAAGTAAAAAAGAAAAAAGAAGAAAAAGAAATTATGCTTTTACCATTTACTTTGAGCATGTTTTCATCAGTAATTTTTTTTAGGTTACTGTGATTTTTATTCAATTTTATATACTGATTAGAACAAGAGCAGTAAGAATTATGCTTTACAAATATTATATTATTACATTGTGATACGGTTTTACACTGATTGTATGGAAAAGACAAAATAACATCAGAATTAAGGCAATAACAACATGTGCAAACCAAGCACATTACCCTGACACAGTCCTTAGTAAAAAGCTCTTTTGGTTAGGTAATCATGGAGATGGCTACATGCAGGACAGTCAGTGCTTTGAAGAGTAAGCTTTGGGTAGAAAATTCATTAATAAAAACTTCCCTCCTACTGGCCCACAATGGCCAGCAGCAGCTTTCGGTAGTCTCCACTCGTGTCACTTGCAATCATTGTGCTCAGGGTCTTCTGATACATCTGAGTGAACATCTGTTTTATTTGTTCAAGGTCAATCTCACTTCGAGTGACCACAATTCTGACCAAAGTAGAGTCATCTGTCCCAGCACCTTTCATAGAACAGTAGAGCCTCTCAGCAAAGAAGGCAGAGCGGTTCAGGGCACACTGCAAGATAGCCTTCAAACCACTTTCAACGTTTCCGGAGAACTCACGGCTAACACTGCTTAGCAAATCACGATTAGCCATCCTGGAATAAGCCTCCATTGTAGCTCTCAGCTGAGGAAAGCTTCTTGTGGCAAGAATCATGTTAAAACAAGATTCATCTGTTCCTAGTCTCCCCTCACCAGCTTGATAGAGGCGCTGAGCATCTTCCTGAGCCATCTGATGGTTTACATTCAGGTTCTCATCACGATTTCCCTGGCGCATGGATACAAGTAAACGTTCAAAATGCCCTGATGTATCTGATCTAATGTCTTTTTCAAGGTCTCGTCCAAATTCTGATTCATAACATCTGACAATGTCTCGAATTTCCTGATTTGTTCTTGTACACAGAATCTCAATCAATACTCGTTCCTGAGTTCCTGCTCCCTTCATTGCATTCCGTAAACTCCAAGCATCATAATATGTGGATGGCATGAACATGGCAAGGATGAGTTCTTCCATATTTCCACTTAATTCTGATTTGAGATCTTTGATCAAATCCTTGCCACACATGGTCTTAAAAGCAGCTTTAATTTTTTGCCTCTGATCATTGGAGCGGTTGGCCACAACATCCACGATTGCCTGCTCATCTGTCCCCAAACCCTTCATCGCTTTTCGGAGAATTTCTGCATCTCTCATGGCATCAAAGTTGGAAGCAGGTTGGATTGTCCCTTGAGTGCCCTGAGTCATTGCTGCTGGCTGATTGGGGAAAGGAACTTGTCCTCCAGGATACTGAGAGGGCACCTGTCCTCCAGGAAAACCACCTGGCATTGGAACCTGTGCAGGGCCACCCCCGTATGACTGTGATGGTGGCTGTGGATAGCCAGAATAGGCTCCAACTGGTGGGGCTCCAAACCCAGGGCCTCCAGGGTAGAATGGGGCTCCTCCTGGCTGTGGGGCACCAGGATAACCTCCAGGAGCTGGGTAGCCTCCAGGGGCAGGGTAGCCTCCAGCACCTGGGTAGCCACCAGTTGGAGCTTGTGGGTAGGCACCTCCTCCCATAGGAGGAAAGCCACTAGGATAAGGATACTGACCGGGAGGGGGAAATGATGACTCTTGACCTGGAGGAGGATATCCAGGGAAAGGTGGGTAGTCTGTTGGGGGATAGCCTGGGTATGACATTCTGGCTCTGAGGAAGCTGCTGCACTGCCCAACCCGCAGCCCGCAAGATTCATCAGTAATTTTTGATGGCTACTTAAGGCAAAGTCAATTCACATAAAGAGTTTGTGCTGTGTCTCATTGGCTTGACCCTCCTTATGCATTACACTCTGTTCTTTTAACACTCATCCGTCTGTGTTGAACTCGTGAGCTTCCTTGATCCTAGGCTCTGAGTTCACTTCAGCTAGTGAGCAACATATATGGAATATGAGAGTGAAGTCAGCATTTCAGTTCCTCTCATCTCCCTAAGGTTAGCTGTTACTCTCTATCAAACGTCAGAGCCTCTGTCAACTAACTTTTATAAGACTCTGTTAAAGCTCTGGCAAATGCACCCAGCTTATGGCATTTCCAGTTTAAACCTACAATCTAGCTAGACCTGGATATTGTTCTGTGTCACGCTGACTATTCTTCACTCATGTGCAAAGTCATTGCCTTTGAGACTAAGCTGACTCATAGCTGACCCTCCATCGGGCTTCTGAGACTATAAACTGCTCAGAAGGAGATTGCCTATCATTGTTCTGTGGAATTCCTAGTGGATTCAAACTAAGAGAGACATGAAGCACACCTGGCCTAGTGGTAAGAAGCTGTGCTGCAATCCCAAAGGCATGTGCTTCAAACCCATTGGCTACTCCACAGGCCAAGGATGGGCAATATTCTCCTGTGCTATTAACTGCCTCTGAAAACTCACTGGAGGGTCTGATATAAGTTGATTCTGACTTGATGGCTCACAATAACAACCAACTAGAGCTCTAGTCCACACACATTCCTTCATTAAATTCTTCAACTAACCCATTCTGAGTGCACTCCCCCACCCACCTGCTGAGAATCTGTCTTCTACAGATTTTACTTTTAAAATGCACTAATGTGCTTGTATAATACACAGAACTATGACAGCTGTTGATAATAAAAGTAGAGGGCTTCAATCTCTTCCTTTGATGAGATAATTGGGAGATATTTTCCTTGTATCACACATATTTTTAATATTCCTAAAAGTACTCTAGCAAAACAGATCAAAATAAATGAGTATGTGCAAAGCTTTACTTTAGAGGATTGCCAAGGAGGAAGGCTTGGCTTATCGAATAAAATAAGCCACAAGCTGGAGGCTGAACAGGAACGATTACATTTTAGACACAGATGTTTTAAAAGGTTAAGCTTCTACAACTGTCCCACTATTTACTCCCATTTTCATCCTCTTATTTTCTAAGAGGATTTAGATTTCTTAGACTTCTATTGTATGCAAATGAGTTGACAACTCATGATAAAAACAAATGAACAAAAAAGAATCTGACAGGCACAAGATATTCTTCAGTTCCCCTTTTGTTGGCTCTCAACAAAGCTGACGAATTGTTCTGGCTTCTGCCATCTCACCTGTGGAGTACTGTGACAGTGCTGTGATGTAGTGTGACTGACAAAGCAGAAAGTTGATGACCCCACAGAAATCCACAGGGAAAAATTGGAGGTAATTGAGCTGAAGTGAAGAATTCTATCTGGGCATGAAAGCATCGTGAAGGTGGATATATTCACGCTAGGTGCAGTGTCAGGGTTAGGCAGGGGGGTGCAGGAGTGGTGAGAGGGATGTTAGGGTCATCTATAAGAACAAGAACTTCATTCCTGGATAGAGGACAGATTGCAGAAAGTGCCATAAAAATATGCCTTCAACGTCATTTCTTACCAGCTTCTTATTTATTTGAAAAGAATATATTGTTCATTGCTTTAGTGTTAGAACTGACTCATAGCTGAACCTCCATGCTCCCCACGCATTTTCAGAGACTGTAAATCCCACAGGAGGAGATTATTCAACTTCTTTTGCAAAGCAGCCAGTGGGTTTGAGCCACCTTAAAAAATCCATTGCTGCTATTTTGTGCTGAGGGCTCAGAGGTGACCCAGAACCTCCAGTGGATTTTCAGAGACTATAAATCACATCAAGAGCTTGTCTGTCTTTTCCATCCAGGAGCAGCTGGTGGATTCAAACTATCTGCTTTTGGGTTAGCAAAGCAACTTCTTACTAGTAGGCCACCAGAGATTCCCAAAAGAACATAGGCTATTATAGATACCAGAACATACTGTAGTTCATTTATGGGTTTGTTTGGTTTTTTTTCCCCTTTTAAATTTTTGAGGTTGTGCATTGAAGCGATTTGCTGCAGAGTTAATGGAAACAAACAGACTTTGAACTTTATTCCTTTGGGAGGAAATATTTATGTATTTCCCCTGACATCTTGCAGTCAGTGTCCCTCTGCGAAGCGCTAGAGATCCAGTGGCAAGGCAGGGAAATGATCCCCACTATCATGACACTTAAAAACAAACAAATGAACAAACGAAAACAACTTTAATTTTACTTCTTTCTCCACTGTGAGAAAAGAAACCAAAAAGCTGACAGCAGTCACATCAAATGTAGTGTTCCAAGGTTCCTCAAAGTGAAACTGTGTGACTTTAGTTTCTCAGCGGAGCTGGACTGCTAACCCAATGATCATCTCCCTCTGGTGTTTGAATCCACAAAAGCCTCCTTAGAGCAAAAGGAAGCGGTCTTTTCCTGTGGGACCCGCAGCCTTGGGAGCCCAGTGGAGCCTCCGCCTTAAGTTGGTTCTTACTTGATGACTAGGAGTATATGAGTTGTTTTGTTGTTCTTGTTTTAGGAGGTAGGTCAGAGGTATGTCTGTGTGGATTTGAGTATCTCACTTTTTGATCAGCTGCTGAGCATCCAACAATTTGGATTATGTAGATATTTCAGAGATTAAATAGACAGTGTGGAAGCAATGTCATGGTCATAATATTAGAATGTCATTGTTATGTGCTGTCCAGTCACCTGTAACTCATGTCAACACTATGTACATCAGCCCTAAACTCTGCCCTATCCTGTGCCAATCTTATTATTACCCCCATTACCACAGTCACTGAATCAATTCATCTCATCGAGGGTCTTCCTCTCCTGTGCTGTCCCTCCATTCTCCCAAACATGATGTCCCTCTCCAATTATTTTTTAATCATTTATTCTCTTCAACTTCCTTTTCACAAACTAGCTAACTGTAGACTGTTAATTCTGAGAACGTTACTCTAATTATCCCATGGCTAACTACATAAATTTTAAAACTCACCTCATTGCCACTGAGTCCAAACCAACTCTTAGTTGGTCATCCATTGGTTTCCAGAGGCTGTAAATCACACAGGAGATTTACCGTCATCTGTCCAGCAGAACAGCTGGTGGATTTGAACCTCCCGCCTTCAGACTGGCCATGCAACTCCCTATCCCTAGGCTGCCAGAATATATTCTGGAGTTTCCATTATTTCTAGATGCCTTGGATGAACCTAATAATCTATGGCTCCTCCACACCACTTACATTTTAAATATTCTGTCTATAATAGAAGAATATTTTAATGAAAATATTTTGAGAAAAAAAGGATTTTAATGAGTAGTGAAAAGGGAATTTAATCTGTACAAGAGCAGTTTCATTTGATAAAAGTGTATCATATTTAAAAAAGGAAGTAGAGAAAATTACTGTACATGCTCTGGACTCAAGCACACAGTTCATTCTCCTCAGAAGCTCATTTGCATCGCTGGCATTTTCAGAAGAGATGGATTAGTTCATTGTTCACTAGCTGGGGCAACAGACATTATTTTGCCAGTGACCAGAATCAGGAAAATGAGGTATGTAAAAATTATTGCTTTTCATTATCTAATCCCATGCATGCTTGGCAAGTTATTCTTTTTCTTAGGTCTTCTGTTTAAATATTAAAGGAAAACAAATTTTAAAATAAAGACATGAAAATTTAGGTTCCTGAACTTTCAGTCATTCTATATGAACCTAAATGGTTGAAAAAATATTCATAAATATTTTCTACACTTGATCTTAGCCAAAAGACCAAGAAGCGATCATAAATATTTTCTGAAACAGAAGGGCCAATTTAGAAAAAAAAAATGTGCCCTTTAGTTGACATGAAAATATCTCTTCTTTTGTTGATATAGGACTACGGGCTACATTGTTTCTCTTGTTAGTACTTCATTTTCTAGGTTGCATCTTCATGCATTATGTGATTATAACACACTCAGCTTTAAGGACTCATTCTCAAGAAGATATATCATTTAGCAGCATTTCGTATCCTTCTTGAAAGTCTTCAAATGTTATTATAATGTTGTTTTATACATTTATGGCACTGCTTGTGACAGAATATCCACAGAGCCTTTTGTTGCTTCACTAGACTACAGGTAAGAAAAAGTAAGAAAGTAGAGAAGCATTAGTTTTGGTTTTTCAACACTCTGTGCAACTTTTACTGTATCTCATTATCCATGCAGTGGGCATCGGTATCATTGTGCAAGCATTTGTCATCTTCCTGAAGCAATCTGAGGTGCATGTGTGACCATTCCAGTAGGAACTTTCTGTAGAAAAAGTACTAGAGAAATTGAAATAGTTCAGGAATTTAAAATTAAAATGTATTTGAAAATTATGTAAATGCAGATGATGAATATTTATGATGACAATAACAAAGAAAAGTGATACTTTGTCAGAAGACAATTTTTATGGTCATATCTTTGCAATTCTTTAAGGAAATGGAAATTATAAGTATGAAAGACTTAACTATTTAGAAAGAAATAGGACAGCTTTTTGATTTGTGGTTTGTCAGTATGGAATGTGACATTGTTTAAATAAAAAAGTATTTAAATTATTAATGGAGATTTAGAAATTTTAGCATTAAAAATTTCATACAACTCACAGTTATTTTCTTTCTGTGTGGATTTAGAAGTTTTGCACAGGGACAGAAACTTAGAAAACATTAAAAATTGAGGTATATGCAAACTATTATTTTTTTCCCTTTTTTAAAAATAACACAAACCACACGCATTAGTTACTAAAACTATCTTTGCCTTTTCCTTAGGTCTTCTAGTGACAAAGCCAAATTGTGGTTCTTGTTTAAATATGTGCCCATTTCTGTGGTTTTATTTGTTATTGTTTTCCCCAGTGATAATCTTC